TTAAAATATGGTTTGAGAAAATTCAGTGTTTACTCCATGTGTGTTTTCATGCACTCTTTTACTGCACTCAAACTGAGGTCCAGTCAGTACTACACTACTAGAAAAGTGTGTATGTCTGGTTTTCCTCCTCTTTCTCCCCTCCTCCTTTTCATGTTCCTCTGGTTGTTTCTATAACAGCCCTATTGCCATCATGATGTGGTACTTTGATATTTTTGCTCATCCTCTCTCTCTCTCTTAGATATATAGATCCTCCCAGCAAGCAATATGTAGCACCTGCCATATATACATGAAATTGCTTTTAGACCCCAGGGAAAACCCTTCAGACCATATGGCTTCACTGTTGTTTCTATCTTGTGAGTTTCTTAATGGATGAACTTCTGTACACTTGGTAAAATACTTCGTAGCTCTCAGAAAATAACGATTAGTAGCCTCTGTCTCAGACAGAGATGCATGAACAAACACATCAAGACTGATCTGCTCCGCTGGTGTTTACACCACAAAAAGAAACCCCAGGCCAACCACCCCTTACTCGTGTACTAGGAAGCTTTCCATCTCTTCAGTGGACTGTATAGTTCTTGTACATGACATGTCAGTTATCTTTAAAGCTCTCTATTTTGCTTTTAGAGGTACTTTCTCAAAACTCCTGGGAGTTTCTGGTTATGAACCTAGGAATCTGGGTTTTTTTTCTAAGTATATGTCTCTGTCCAGTGATGCCTATATTCTGCCTGCATTTTCCTCTATATATGACATATTTCACATTCAAACTCTGCAACCTAAAACCTGCCCCTCTCCTCAGCTCAGTGAGGCCGCACCTGGAATATTGGGTGTAGTTCTGGCCTCCCCAGTATAAGAGGGATACAGAGCTTTTAGAGCAACATAGAGTGACGAAGACGATTAAGGGATTAAGGACATCTATCTTATGAGGAAAGACTAAGAGAGCTGGGCCTGTTTAGCCTGGAGAAGAGAAGGTTGAGGGAGGATCTGATTAATATGTAAAAATACCTGAAGGGTGAATGTAGGGAGGAAGGGGCCAAACTCTTCTCAGTGGTGGCCAGTGATAGGGCAAGGGGCAATGGATATCATTTGAAACACAGGAAGTTCCATCTGCATGTGAAGAAGAACTTCTTCCCTGTGAGAGTGACAGATCCCTGGATCAGGCTGCCCAGGGAGGATGTGGAGGCTCCTTCTCTGGAGGGCTTCAAACCCCACCTGGATGTGACTGGTGTGGTTCTTGCTGTCCTTGCTGGAGCAGGAGGTTGGACTAGATGATCCTAAGAGGTGCCTTCCAACCTTAATGATTCTCTCATTCTGTGATCTAATTCACAGAATTACAAAATGCTTCTCACTGTTCTGTGACAATCATTGGAACTACAGTAAAAGACTATATCTTTTATATACTTATATACACTTATATATAAAAATATATATTTTTATATAATTATATACTTATATAAAGACGATATGGGGCTTTATATACTATATAAAAGGTGATATGGGGCTATGTTAAGTAAACTATCAGTTTATAATGTCCTGAATTTTTTGAACAACTTGTGCTTGCTACTGAGAAAAGTGACCTCTTTTTTTTTTTTTTTCTTCTGTACTGTGTTAACATTCTTTTCCAATCTTAAATGCCCCTCCTGTCTCTAAATTCAATTATGGATTTAACACTTGAGGATATGAGTAAGGCATAAAACTTAGGCACTTTGCCCCTATAAGTAATCAGTATTTTAAAAGAACAAATAGCATGTGATCAACAAAAAACAATCAGATTTCCTTATTCCATGTCCTTGGGATATGAAAAATACTGAATTTGGTATATGAAAAATATTGAAGTTGATATTTGCATGGAAAAATTTAACTTCATGAATCACTTCTATGACTAACATTAAAAAAAAAATCTTAATTGTTTCCATAAAAATAACTTCATACTAATCCTACTATTTTTCCCGTATTGCTGCTCCTGGACTTTGCAAGAGTTCTTGCAAATAAGCGGATGGCAGGACTTTGTCTTTGGGAGATACTCAGCTTTGAAACGTCATCAATGGGACTTCAAGGGCACTTCCAGCTCATTTATTTTTCTTAACTGAAAGGAAATGGAAAAAGTTTGGGAACAATCCTACATATTCTTGCTGACATGTTATTGTTATTATCAGTTATGTTAATAGAGTGGTTAATGGCTATGGTGTAAGCCTAAGTCTTATTCATTTTAAAGTTGTACTTTCAAACAATTGCCTGTATGATCTCAAAGGGAACTGAAATTTGCAGTTGATGTATAAGCACTTAAAAGAGAAAAAAACTACCCCTTCTATATTCACATCTGCTTTTCAGCCAGAAGTCACATATGCTACAACTATTACTTCTTAGCCAGGAGAGATGAGATCTATTCATGTTTCCATATCTGTTCTATTTCCATATCTGTTCTGTTTCCATATCTGTTCTGCCTTCAGTGATGATTGCCAGTAAATGTAGTAGTGTTCCTTGATTTGAGAGAACATTCACAAGGAGCCCGGCTATGTTTACTAATACTTTTGGCAGTAGCAACTAATTAGCTGTAACAAATTAGATATTAAATATTTTAGATATTTAGAGAACTACTGCCATAAGCAGCATTCTAAATAGCAGTCCTATCAATGATATCTTTCTTCATAATGCTCAAATCTTTTTTTTTTTTTTTTTTTTTTAAAGCCTATGAAATGTATTTCACAGAATGTAGCTACTGGTCTTCTAGCAACCATGGAGGTTGGTAGAAATTCTTGTGAGAACAAAATGTAAACGTAGGAAAGGAAATTTTCAGTACTGGCTTTATTTCCTTTCCTAAACAAGACAACAACAAAAAATGGAGCAAAGTGGGACAGGTCTAAAATTAGACATGTCATATATCATAGTCTAAACAATGTATGAGTTTTTTTTTTTTGGACTGAAGCTTCCAATTAATTACAAATTACAAAAATCTGTGAATGCAGATTTTTTTTTTAAATCCTTTCTTGAGTCAGAACATTTTATTCTCATTTTAACTTTGGCAAGCTGTTTTGTTATATAGAAAGATTATTATTTTAGCCATTATAATTTTAAAGGGAGAATATGAGCACCTACTAGATTATTGGATTATTGGACTTAGTCCTTCGCCATACTTGACTTGCAAATGGAGATCCTATGGAATTGATTTTTTAGAAGATGGAAATTTGAAAGATTATTTCACCATAGCAGAAAAAAAAATCTCAGTTTGAAAAATGTGTTTGTGATAAGGATGTTAACAAATTATTATGATGAGTTCTTGTATCTATGACACAGACCTGTGGATGAGGAAAATATTCCTAAATTAACAACCCAGCAAGGTTATTGCCATGGAGTTTCTACCTACCTATTCCAGAACTATGATAGATCTCTACTATAATGGAGACCACAGTTTCAATCTCTGGTCACATAAATCCCTCAAGGAATATGCATTTGTATAGAGTACTCAAAGCTTTGAGTGAGACTTGTGAGACTTGTGAGACTTGTGAGATTTCAGAGATTCAGCCTTCTCCACTCCTTTGGGCATCAGAGGCCTACTGGGGACTTCTGCCAGGTGCATGTACCTAGAGTCTTAATATAGGATTAATTAATCAAGTAAAATAATACAATAAGTTATACTTTCAGTTCCAGATAATTTCTGCAAAAGCTGTTGCGAGGAAAATGTGCATCCTGGGCAGGGTTGGAAGAGAAGATGAAGATGATGATATAGAGGACTGTTTGTTTTAACATGTATTCAGATGTTCTGCTCCTGCTGAAAATGTTCTATTTTAAAATTTGAAGCTTCATAACAATAAAACAGTAAAATTGTCTCAGTATTACTTTATTAAAATCCTGTTGTACATTCAGAAACTGTTATGTATAGAACAAAACTGAATTCTGTGTCAAAGATTATCACAATTTCTTACTGACGTCACAGTATAGTTTCATATTACATTACAAGAATATATTTTTCTGAAAACAAGACAACTTTGACATCCAATTGTAACAAGGAAGAGATAATGTATCTGGTTTTTAACAATGTACGGCACTCCATATGATGGTATCAGAGAATAGCTTTCAGGATTACTAAGTAAAAATAAAAGTTGTCTCCCTTAGTATTTTTGATGTAATAAAGCAAATAATTTCAGATGTTAGAAGCACTTCATTTAGGCCTCAATTCTGCTTTAATTGAAATCCTAAGCAAAAGTTCCTTAGTTCCTTTTTTTTTTTTTTTTTTTTTTTTTTGGTAGTTGGGTGAATTGGGAACATATGGTATATTTGAACTGAGAATATGAACTCTTGAGAGTAAATTGCTTTTCTTTTCTTTTTTCCAAAATTAAAATTTTACCATGAACTGTCATCCTGATGTGAACCATTTTTTTTTTTTTTTCAGAAAAATGTTTCTGCATGTAATTCCATGGTAAATGTAATTTGAAGTGGAATTATAAAGTACAGAAGAGAAATGCAATGGCATGAGTCAACCATGCATTCTATTTTGCTGCTGCTGCTGCACTGTGTTTTGTTAACTGTATAACCAAGGAAGAAAATTTAATTTAGCAGTCATGGATTATATGAGAATGTACTACAGTGCTGAAATAAGCTACAACTGTGTATGTAAATCTGATAGATTAAGTATGAGAAGCCTGTTTACAATTATTAATCTGGGATACTTCTTAAATTAAAATAGTTACATACATTCTTTGAAGAGAAATGTCATAGTTCCATGATACAGTTCAACGAAGATTTGTCTTAATTTTTGAAGATTATCCTAAATGGGATCCTTACTCTCTGTTAATATTAAGAAGAAGACCTGTGATAAGAAAGTATGGGAGAACATATATATATATACACACACATATATATATATGCATATATTTGTGTGTGTGTGCCTATATATAACATTTCTATTTATCAGTCCTACTGTAGTGGGAAGAGTGAGAAATCTATTTTGCAAGGTCAGAATTAAGTTTTAATAATTTTCTTTTGCCTCCTGTATTTTCTTTAAGGCCTTATTCGATTACAAGAGCTCATCAAGGCTCCATCACGGTACAACCTGAGATTAAAAATTCGTCAGCTCCCAGCTGACACAAAAGATGCAAAGCCATTGCTAAAGGAGATGAAAAGAGGCAAGGAGTTCCATGTAATTTTTGACTGCAGCCACGAAATGGCAGCAGGCATCCTGAAACAGGTAATCCTCATTTTACTTGAGAGAGCTTAGTCTTCTAAATCCCTAATAAATAAAAGTAATATCTAACCTTAATGGTCTTATACATGCAAGGGAATTGTTTGTCAGTTTTACTGAAGCCTAACTGAAAATCACTGCAGAACTTTAGAGATAATTTTTTTGGTGACTGTAATGATAGCTGCTTTCATTATGATTTCGAAAGACATAGCTTCATCAGTCTATGTACAAGGGAAAAAGTATTTCGCTATACATTTTATCTGATGAAAAATGTCAGTGTTACAGCTTTTGTAGCTTAATACTTTGGAGAATTGATGTTAAGTATTAAAATGCTTGTTTAGCGTAATTTTATATAATGTTTTTTTTTCTTTTTTTTTTTTAATTGAATCTTCTACATGATGTGTTTGTATTCAGATAATTGAGATATGAATGGTATCTTTTAACAATAGAGAATATAGTATTATTATGATTTGGTAGGTCACTTGAATGCCTTTGCAAATTAATTTCTTTATCAGATGACCACATTAAGATGGTCCAACTAATAGATATTTTTAGAGTCATATTCTTCTTGCACCAATAATAGGTGTGGAGAGTAGTTGAATATTTCCAATTAGGTGTTCTGCAAAGGTGTGTCCTCTATAGTTTTCAAGTTGAATAGGTAAAATATGGCAAAATCCCAAATACTTACTATCTGTGTACTAAAGAAGAAGATTCCATTGGTGTCGTCCAAAGCTATCATCACAGAAGGTGTCTAGAGATTAAAGTGGTATACAGCTCATAGAAAGCTTACTGCAAGCCTAAAGTATGCAAAAAGAAAGACAACCTTTAATGAGCTGTCTCCAGAGTGTGATAATTTCTCATTTTTTGGAAACCACTTTTCTCTTTTTTTCACTGCACTATGTCTTGTGATATGAGAAATAAAGAAAAATTGTATCCTACACTGCTAATGCATTTACTAATTTTGAATCTTATTTATATTATGTTTATCATCATGCTATACCCCCTTGGTTTGAAATTGAAAGTAAATCCATTCTTTCAGATTTGAAAAGAAATTCCACTAATTAAAGGCACTTCTGTTTATTGTTGTGGGAACAATTAAAATGCTAAACAAACACTAGTAAATACACTCTTATTACTTTCTTTATGCTTTTATTAATTCTTAGAAATTTCAAACTTCCGGCAGTGATATTTGCTCTTCACTTTGCATAAGATACTGTATTTAGTTTGTTTAGCCTATGTCACCAAATGTAGAAATTTATTTCAGCATCTTAAAGATGCAAGTGAAAAGTATGTAATTGTGGCAGTATATAGCTGTTACACTAAGTCCACTGAGGTACTGTATTTAAATAATATTTTTTTAGGTGAAAGGAAGCTTTTTTTTCACAGTATGCAATAACATTGTCAACAAAGAATTATGACTAGAGGTAAATGGGAAAGGAAGCACTGTAGCTTTACAATGATAAAAAATCTGTAAATACTAAATGGCTAAATAAATCATAGTAGGATAACAGGTGTTGTGTGGAGTAAAAAGATACCATGGTACATACTTCTTAGCTGAAAGTCTATTCAGTCTTAGTGAATAGGAATGATGACACATTCTCAGCTCATGGCTTTAAAATTGTGACTACAAATAATCATTCTTATTCCTTTGAAAAAACAGTATAGAAATTTTAAAATGCACTGTTAATCAGAAGCTAATATCAGAAGAGAATATTTAACTAGCAAGGCAGATGCAGGTAGTTGATAGATGTCATAGTTTAATGAGTAATAATAGGAATATTTGTTATTTTTCCTGTACAACATATATTTTGCTATTCAGAATTTGAATCAACTTTTCTTTCATGGTTGGAAAGGCACAGTTCAAAGATAACCTTGGATCCTTATTTTAAATGAATAATAGTTTTCATCAAAATAGAAAAATACTTCCTATTAGGTTATGAATGAAAATGCTGTCATCTCAAATTTTGTGTGGCAAATGAATGTGTCCATTAGTATGTAAAACTGTAAGCCTCTTTCACATTTACTGCACTAAACAGTCAAATAATATTCTTTCTATCAAAAGATCTGGTTCATAAGTTCTTATAATAGTAATCTGCTCCAACTGCTAAGAAATTATTTACTTGACCTAATTCTAGTATAATTCCAAACCTATAGTCTGATCCCAGTAGTGTTCTTCTGCAGCATTTCATTTCTCGTGTAATGTGATAAAAAATGTAATATATGAACTCAGAAACATTAATCTTTTGTTTGTTCTTTTTCAGGCTTTGGCTATGGGAATGATGACAGAATACTATCACTACATCTTTACCACACTGGTAAGTGGCTTATAAAAACATACTGACATACCAAAGCCCTTGGTTTTGTTAATTATATTACTTGACAAAGTGAAATAGGTCTCTCTGGAATAGGGTGAGAGGATGGGATTTTTTTCTGTTGAATTTTATTATACTCAGTGAAAAGTCATAAGGAAGGCTTAATTATTGTTCAGCATTGTGACCTGAAATCTTTCAAACTGGAGAAAACTACTGGCTTTGTAGCAATACTTAACTTTCAGACATGGCCAAATGGAAAATTTATAATTTCTCTTACAAAAATAGGCCTTTTCCTCTTTTTGCTATTTGCATGCAAAGATTATGATATTTTAATCTTACTCATCTATTCCAAAGTCATCCGTAGTTTCATTATGTAAGTCTTCACTGTCACATGATTCCTGAATGATTTGATGTGAAGGTTAGTATTCTTTTATTCGACTGTTCAGTAGAGTTTGCTAGGCTATGAATTATGTGATATTCTTTAGTTTCCACTGTATGAGTTACCAAGAATGCATTTGATCACTTCTGGAAACATCATAGTTAAAATTTACTTTGCAACATGATAAGTAAGAAACACTTTAAATATTTGTAAAATAATACACTAGAAACAAAGATTATGTGTATTTCTCAGCTTGCCATTGTATTGAAAAATGCCTGTTTAGATTGTAATTCAGTAACATCCTTAAAATACATATAATTTCAAGTATCAGGTAGATGTGCCTTGGTAAAATTATGCTTAAGAAGACATATTTAAAATAACATACATCTTTAAATTCTTCCTGAATATTATCTTTGTGGTAAAATTGACGATTTGTGGACTTTGTGGTAAAAGGATAAGAATCAGGAAACAGAAGTTCATAAAAAGCACTAGCCTGACAGTAGAGCATTTAATAGGAAAAAAGAAAATTAAAGTTCATTAGAACTTCAAGAGAAAAATACCCCAAACATGTATTTATCTTCTTTTAGTTCTGCTGTCATTTCTGAATTTGAAAGATACTGGGATTACATGATAGAGAATTTTGCTCATTCAAAATGGATTCTAGACATAAAAATTTTAATTGGTGAATTTTCATAGAATCATAGAATGCTTAAAGTTGGAAGGGACCTCAGAGGTCATTTAGTCCAATCCCTTGCACACGCAGGGTCACCTAGAGCACGGGGCACAGGGCTGCATCCAAGCGGATTTTAAAGATCTCCAAAGAAAGAGACTCCACAATCTCTCTGGGCAGCCTGTTCCAGTGCTCTGTCATCCTCACTGTCAAGCAATTTTTCCTTAAGTTCCTGTGGAACTTTTGGTGCCTCAGCTTGTGGCCATTTCCTCTAGTCCTATCGCTGTCCACCACTGAAAAGAGGCCAGCCCCCTCCTCCTCACTGCCTCCCTTGAGGTATTTATAGACACTGCTGGAGATGCTCTTCTTAATGCACCCCAGGATCCCATTGGCCTTGGCCACCAGGGCACACTGCTGCCTCATGGTCAACTTGTCGTCCACCAGGACGTCCAGGTCCCTCTCTGCGGGGCTGCTCTCCAGCGAGAGAGAAAAAATGAAAAATTTTCATCTTTTATTGATGAAATTGCTTGTTAGAGTTCTTTCTGGAACTTTGAGTATTGTCTGTTTTGCATTTTATTTTTCCTTTTTTAAAGCCATGTTAAAAATCAAGTTTTCTGTCATATTTATTTCCTTATTAAAATATTAACTATTTAGGAGAGGCACAATTATTTTGACTTGGAGAAATCACAGATAATTCAACAGCTACAAATAGATCCTCCATTTTGATTTCTCAATGTATCTTTGGAATATGCATCAGAATTTAGTTGTTTCATTTATTTATTGCTTCATACCTACATGGTGGAGGTCCTGTCAAATATATTTTCCAGTAACAGTGTTTACAGCAGTTTTCATTGCATTTGCAATAATTAATTCAAGGTCTAATGCAGTAGCTCATTAATATACTGTCCTATGTGCTATGCACATGTAATAGTGCTATGCATATTTATTGAAGTGCTAATGGATATATATTAGACAGCTACATCCGAGGCTCTGATTATTTATTTGTTTATTTTTCTAGGAATAATAACTGTATTATAAGCTTAAAGAGAAAGATGCTGGATGGGAACCATAAACCATGTTTTAAAGTAGTTCTAGTTATGTTCAGCCTTTCCTTCAACAACAAAATTTTATTTTTTTATAGAAATCATGATTTAGATTGTTTCTACATGGATAACTTCCAACAATTTTTTATGATGCACTTAGCTGACCTTAATGAGTCATGACTCATTGTTCTGTTCATCAGCTTAATTTGAGGTTCCATCATGTTTAAATTTGACCTTACTCCTGAATTTCCTAATGTCAAGCTTTAGTTCTGTCTTTTTTTCCCAGAAGTCTGCTGAAGGCTTAGGATGATAAGTATATTTGCTTGATCTAAAATTTGGATTTCCTCTCTTAAATCACTTGTGTTTGTGTGCATGCATGTGTAGATGTATACATATGCATAATACATATTTTGAAAATATATTGAATTGCAAATGTTATTCTTCTGGAGAAAAAAAATAATAAAAATAAATATTTTTTGTAAGTATAGGAGATATATTTAAAGAATGCTTCCATTTACAATTAAACCTGTTTATCTCTTCAAGACAGTATCTGATAAGCCAGACAGGAATCTAATACTAACCTTATTAGTAGTTAATAATAATATTTAAGCTCGATCATTTCTAAATGATACAGTTGTGCAACTGGACTTTGCATTTCTGAAAATGTTTTTTTAAAAGAAATTGAATATTTTCTCTTTCTGTGAACGATTTTCTCATCGTTCACATTCATCATCATTCTCATTTCTGTGAATGATTTTCTCATTCTCATTGTCAAGTAAGTTGAGGTTTTTTTTGCTTACAGAATGAGGCAACAGATATGCTGTATTTTTCCAGCACATATAGTTTTTCATGACAAGGCTCAGTGCAGATGTCTAGGGAGATGGTCAAACAATGGAAATATGAATTGTGATATATTAGGTAATTTTTATATGATGTTCTTTTTTTTCCAGGACTTATTTGCCTTAGATGTGGAACCCTATCGGTATAGTGGTGTTAATATGACTGGATTCCGAATTCTAAATACGGAAAATACTCAGGTGTCATCCATCATTGAAAAGTGGTCTATGGAGCGACTACAGGCACCTCCTAAACCTGATTCAGGTTTGCTGGATGGATTTATGACGGTATGAATATCAATTTTTTGGTATCTTTATTTTTTTATTTTTTTTATTTTTTTTTTTGGTATATGCTTGGGAAGCTAAAAAAACCTTTAAGTTCTCTTTTCTGTCACTGTATTTCATTGAGACCAAATCTTAGTCTGATTAATAGTCAGAATAGCTGTGGTGTTTGTGCTAATATTCTAAGCTAAAACTTTTAAACTTTATTTCAAAATTTTATGTTATGTTTTTTTCAAATGATAATGCTACAGTGTTTTAAAAAAATATTATTCATCTAAACCATATTTCCAATAACCATACATTGTTAGTGAAAACACTCAAGATAAATTACTTAATTTCTTTTCTTATTTTTTTCTTATTCACTTAGTTCACTTAGATAACTCCTTTATAATGTTTCCTATTTTCTTTCTGATTTTTTTTAAATCTCAACTTGGTTACAAATGAATATGAAATTTCATCTTGTTTCTTTGAGAGATTCCAAGTCAAATTTCAAAGTATGTGTCCTGTTGACTTCAGTTGGGGCATTTCTTGTTTCTAGGATGCTACTCAGGAAAGGTAGGAAGGACAAGCATATTTGTGAAGACTACTGACAACAAATTAATTATTCAATACATTTTACTCTCCTTAGTCTCCTTTTCTCCTTTCAGGGTTTCTGAGCTTCATTTGTATGGACTTTAGGATAATAAATTTAAATTATTTAATGAATGGTACTATATTCAATTTCTCCATTATTTGATAGAATGTTTCTTTAACAAAGAAATGAAACTCATTCTGTGACACAAGAGAGTAATATCAACACTGGCTTTGCTCATTCTGTGACTTAGGAATATTCTAGGAATCTTCCAATATTTTTGGTTTTGGATGTACACATGTGTAAGAATATACACATGAGAGTATATGCAAGAGTTTTGTTTTTAGAGTGTTCTTACGATAAAAGCTTTGCTTGTAGAAGTATTTGTAGGCATCAAATAGATGTGATTTCTAGTAAAGCCTAAATAAATTGGTGATTTTTAAATAAAGTTGTGTAAATATAATTTTAATATAGTAGATACATGTTCTGAGCAAGAATCAGGAAAGAATATTCTACTTTTTATTAAAAGATTTTTGTTATGACTGATACATCTTAACATATTCCATTTGTACTTTGAGGGTTCTTTCATATTTATTTATATATTTAAGGAAAATAAAAATGCTTATCCTACTAATATATCAATTGCAATCTATATCTGCTGTTCTCTACTTGACTGCCTCTCTCTGTAACACGTAAGAGTTCAAATACTCTAATATGTTAGAGTACAGATGCCATTCAAATTAAAAGGCAATGAAACACTGAAAGTTTTTGAAGTTAACTCCAAACCTAATATTTGGAGTTGTATGTCATGAAAATCCATTCCTTTTGTATATCCATACATGTGGCTTTCCTGATGTGTTTTACTGAAAATATTTGTGTGCTGAAGACAGCAAAGCTAGCAGAATTAGAGATCCTGAAACTAGTTTGAAATGCAGGTATCTTTTTGTTTTAATTGCTGGACCATTTCTAAACTAAATTGAGGATCTTTACACAATTCTCTGGAATGTGGTATATGAATTACTGTTACTTTCTCTAAATTTAAACTAGATTGTGAATTTGAAAATATTTGTAACTTAGTTTTTCTTTAGCAAGATGTTTCAACATTGAAAACATTTATTTTTCATTAATTCAAAATATTAATTTTGAAAGAATTAATAAGAAACTAAAAAAGACAGAACCAAATCAAAATGTTTAATCATATAACTAGCTGTATAACTAGCTTTTAGTTGTTCAGAAAAAATCTAATTTAAAAGGTAGGTTTTTTCGGTTCGGGCAAAAAAAAATAATTTGGATTTTCCTGTAGGATGTAAAAACTGTGTAATAATGGTTGCTGAGTATTTTGTCAAATGTTACATTTACTAATTAGTATTATACTATCTATCCCATATTAACAGGAACATACTAACACTGTAAAACAGAAAAATCATGCTTAGACTAATTTCATAAAAGCCAACTTTGGTATACTTGCACACAGAAAGGGAAAAGGATTTTAAAAAATAGCCTTTTATTTAAATATAATGACAACCGTGATTCAGACAAAGTATAGCATGAATCGAATGGTATATGATCATAATTCTTCTACTATGCCACTATTAATTTTCCACATAATTCTGTGCCTCAAGTCAGAACTTAGCGTGCATAATTAAGATGACCTAACAGGCAGTGCTGCTTCATTAGCATAAAGTTAATTGGTAATTGGTTTTGTTTATCATCTGATTCAGCTATCTGCTTTCATCTTGTGTTGAAATAAGTGTATTTTTTCCTTCTGAGTATTAATTTCATTCTTTAATGCTAACTTCAATAGCAGGATACAGCAGGTGCCGTGAAGCACTGTGGTACTTGGAGAATGCTATACCTAAGGTCAATATTTAAGTGTTTCCTCAGAAAATCACAGCTTGTATCTAATATATTTTGCAGGCAGACAAGGAGAGTGGAATATACTTCTATGAATACAAAGCATGTGCAGCTTTCCTTTTTCCACTCTTATATCTCATGTTTATTTTTTACAAGTTTTTAAAATTTCTACTCTTTTCTGGATAAAATATAGCTTAGATCCTCTGCACAGTGAAACACAATATTTCTCAGTACCTGGAAAGTAACTGTAATAAAATTTAGAGTGCAATTAAATACTCAAGGCAATAATATAGAGATTTATTGTATGGTCAAGATAGATTTAGATAGATTTATGAAGGTTTATGAGGGTTTTTGTTTGTTTGTTTGTTTGTTTGTTTTTTGGGGGGGCAGAGGGGGAGAATGAGGGGAGAAATTTTGATTTGATTCACAAAAAGAGAGATGTTTTATGAATAAAGATATGTATTTTTTTAAAGCTGAGGTATTTCCTTTCCTCAGATAATGAGAATAGATCCATGCAGATTTTCTGTAAATATATAACTGTAAATTTATTCCATTTACACATTCTGCACAATAGAAAGAATATGTACTGCATTCTATGCACAGATTTCTCTAGAAAATTCATTTTGAAACCAACCATTTTAACAGTTACATAACAAGGCTGAAGTTATAATTAGTTTAAAATTTGAGTGTGGAAATGAAAGAATAAAAAATATTGGATTTGTAAGTGTGTAGGCAATTTTCCCCAAATAATTCTTTGTATTTGCACAACCATAGACCTGTTGGATACATTCATGTATTCAGTACATATATTTATGGTTTGTTTTTTGTTTTCCTCAATCATAAAAAAGTGTCCAGTAACTGTTTTTTTTCAAGATGTAGGTCTTGTGACTCTAAGGTGAACTATAGTGTATTTGAATTTTCATCTTCTTATCTTTGTGGTCATGAATGCTAATTTAGTATCCTCACAAGATTTTCTGAATCCAGTGATAAGACAAAGAACTATTAAAGGAAAGAATGGTGTATTTTCAATTACATTAAATTATTTCCTTTGAAAAAACTCCTGTTATGAGTCTGACCAGTGTGTAAAGGCCAAGTTAAATGGCCAGCTGTAATCAGGGAAAGAGCCTGATATCATCAGAATACTTCAGCTTACTTTTTGATAAAGCTTTTTGAATCGTGTTAAGCTAATTTGATTAAGCTAATACAATTGAAAAATGTACAATTTTCCCCTTCTAGAGAAAATTGGAAGAGATTAATAGGGTGAGGGAAAAATTGCAACTATGGCACTTGTAGTTCAAGAGCTATCTGGAACTCAAAAAAAAAAAAAATCTTAAAAAAAAATCCAATTCTTCATCATGATATATCCAAGGCTTACTGAAGCTTTTTTTTCAGTGAAAATGAAAAATACCTCCTATATCAGCAAAATTGACGTGACTGATATTGAGGGCATTCTTTTACTGCCCTTAAGGGCAAGTATATATTTTCCAGGTTTGATACCCTGCAGCTAAAGAAATTAGCACAGGGAGTTGAATCTAGGTGTCTTCAATCCATTTTAATCAAGGTCTGAGTGGGCAGTGTGATTCAATAAGAAGCATGAATAAAAAAATTCAAGGAAGATAAAGGAAGAAATCAGTTTTAAATCTAGAAGTTTTAAAAGTAAACTCCCAATAAATGACTCATGAAAACTGTGAGGTGCAAAACTGGAAATGTATGCTACCAGTAATAATAATATATATCCAATTTATTTTATTTTAAATCTATTTTTGTTTCATAATTTCATTTCTTAATTTATTGCTGTGTTTTCTCCAAGTTTCATTCTTTTCCTGACAAGGAGGCAATAGTTTATGGTGTTAACCAGGATACTTCAGAAGTTTGAGTTCTTAATGTCAGGGTTCCCAGTGATTGTACTAATGATACAGATACTGAGGTAATCCTGCATACACATTCTGCACTGTGTGGCAGAGAATTCTATTAAAATTAACTTTTACTGTCCTTCAAGGAAATAGCCTTTTATAGTTACCTGGGGGGAACAGAATAAATCTATTGCAACCCTGATATTTTTAAGCTATCTTGAGTTAGAGTATTAATGAAGTTTAGATGTTCTTCTAGAAGCATTAACAGAAGCAACAGCTACTTTACTTCTTTATAATTCCTTAGAGTATGCCTTGATTTTTTAAAAAAATGTTAATTATTTTATACATGTTTACATTTATGATTTGAAATTATAATCACTTTAATTTAGAAATTAAATTATTTTATGGAAGATAAAAAGCTTTGAATTTGTTGATTAAAGTGTTACAAATTAGTCATTCTGTTAACAGTAAAAGGATATTTGTGAAACTGATATCTAACAGCTGAGAAATAACAGTTACATTTCAAATAGATAGTGAAATAATAGTTCGGTGACTAGCATGAGGCACTGTAACTGAATTGAAGGATTTGATGAGAAAGGGGTGCACTTAGGGTTCCGGAGGGTGAAAAGATTCATAGAAATGAAAAGAAATACTCATTACAGAAGCAGAGCCTCGGTTTCTGATTTTAAAGCTTCAAAGAGGATAGCTTGTTATAGAGACAGCTTTAT